GTGAGTACAATTAACCATTAAGGAAAAGGTCATTCAGGTCTAGTCCCTGGGTTTCTACTTTAGCTCATACTGAAGGATCCCCAACTTCCCTCTACTGCTCAGCCTTCTGGCCCTTTGAATCTCAGGTCTATATCAGCCTTTTTGACTTTAATTAATGTGTTTCTTTACTTCTGAGCCATCCTCTGTCTCCCTATCCAAGACAGTTTGCACTGATAATCTTTTGTTGCACCCAAAGCCTATTCATTTCCTCTAAATCATCAGTACTAATTGTTGACCATTAATTAGGCCTTAATAAGTAGTTGTAGTCGTTGGCATATATAAAGACATAGTGAATTGACAGAGGAAGGCAGCAATAGGCAGGCCACAGAGCCCACAGGCTGACTACTCCACTGTGGTGCTTTTTAACCATTACCTCATAGCTGGACAGATTCCTACATAAAAGAAGGCTACCTCTGCAAAGGCATATACATGTTTTGGAGGCAAATTTGTTGTGTGAAATAGTTTGTATTTCAATACAATAATTAAGAATTTCAATAATTTCAATAATTAAGAATTATTGCATGGACACAGTCTGTCTTTTTGCCAGAGCATTGGTTTTCTATGAGCTTAGACACCCACCTGGCTATATTTTTATTTATTTATTTAAATTCAAGTTACTTAACATACAGTGTTGCATTGGTTTCAGGAGTAGGACCCAGTGATTCATCACTTCCATATAACACCCAGTGCTCATACCAACAAGTGCCCTCCTTAGCGCCCATCACCCATTTAGCCCATAGCCCCACCCACCTCCCCTCGAGGCACCCTTTATTTTTCTCTGAATTTAAGACGCTCTTATGGTTTGCCTCCCTCTCTGTTTTTATTTTATTTTTCCTTCTCTTCCCCTATGTTTATCTGTTTTGTTTCTTAAATTCCACATGAGTGAAATCATATGATATTTGTCTTTTCCTGACGGACTTATTTCACTTAGCATAATACACTCTAGTTCCATCCACGTTGCTGCAAATGGCAAGATTTCATTCTTTTTGATTGCCAAGTAGGATTCCATTGTGTGTGTGTGTGTGTGTGTGTGTGTGTGTGTGTGTGTGTGTGTATTACACATCTCCTTTATCCATTCATCAGTCAATAGATATTTGGGTTCTTTCCATAATTTGGCTATTCTTGATAGCACAGCTATAAACAGTGGGGTGCATGTGTCCCTTTGAAGCAGAATTTTTGTATACTTTGGATATATACCAACTAGTGCAACTGCTGGGTTGTAGGGTAGCTGTATTTTTAATTCTTTGAGGAACATCCCTACTGTTTTCCAGAGTGGCTGTACCAGTTTGCATTCCCACCAACAGTGCAAAAGGGTTCCCCTTTATCCACCTCCTTGCCAACATCTGTTGTTTCCTGCGTTGTTACTCTTAGCCATTCTGACATGTGTGAGGTGGTATCTCATTGTCATTTTGATTTGTATTTCTCTGATGATGAGTGATGTTGAGCATATTTTCATGTGTTTGTTAGCCATTTGTATGTCTTCTTTAAAAAAGTGTCTATTCATATCTTCTGCCCATTTCTTCACTGGATTATTTGTTTTCTGGGTGTTGAGTTTGATAAGTTCTTTATAGATTTTGGATACTAACCCTTTCTCTGATATGTCATTTGCAAAAATATCCCATTCTATAAATTGCCTTTTAGTTTTTTTGATTGTTTCCTTCACTGTATAGAAGCTTTTTATCTTGATGAGGTTCCAATAGTTCATGTTTCTTTATGTTTCCCTTGCCTCGGGAGAGATGTTTCCTAAAAATTTGCTGTGACCTAGGTCAAAGAGGTTTTTGCTTGGTTTCTCCTCTAGGATTTTGATGGTTTCCTGTCTCACATTTAGGTCTTTCACCCATTTTGAATTTATTTTTGTGTATGGTATAAGAAAGTGGTTCATTTTCATTCTTCTACATGTCACTGTTCAGTTTTCTCATAACCATTTGCTGAAGAGACTTTTTTCTATTGGATACCCTTTTCTGCTTTGTCAAAGATTAGTTGGCCATACAATTGTGGGTCTATTTCTGGGCTCTCCATTCTCTTGCATTGATCTATGTGTGTGTGTTTGCACCAGAACCGTACTGTCTTAATGATTACAGCTTTATAATATAGCTTGAAGTCTGGAATTGTGATGCCTCTGGCTTTGGTTTTCTTTTCAATGTTAGTTTGGCTATTAAGGGTCTTTTCTGGTTCCATACAAATTTTAGGATTGTTTGTTTTAGCTCTGTGAAGAATGATGGTTTTATTTTGATAGGGATTGCATTAATGTGTAGAATGCCTTGGGTAGTATAGACATTTTAACAATGTTTATTCTTCAATCCATGAGCATGGAATATTTTTCCATTTCTTTGGCTCTTCTTCAATTTCTTTCATAAGCTTTCTATAGTTTTCATATGTTATACATCTTTGCTTAGGTTTATTCCTAGGTATCTTATGGATTTTCATGCAATTGTAAATGTGATAGATTCCTTGATTCTCTTTCAGTTGCTTAATTATTAGTGTATAGAAATGCAACCAATTTCTATACATTGATTTTATATCCTGTGACTTTGCTGAATTCACATATCACTTCCAGAAGTATTTTGGTGGAGTCTTTCAGGTTTTCCATGTAGATCATCATGTCATTTGTTAAGAGTGACAGTTTGCCTTTTTCTTTGCCAATTTGTATGCCTTTTATTTCTTTTTGTTGTCTGATTGTTGAGGCTAGGATTTCCAGTACTATGTGGAACAACAGTGGTAAGAGTGGACATTCATGTCATGTTCCTGACCTTAGGAGAAAAGCTCTGTTTTCCCCCATTGAGGATGATATTAGCTATGGGTCTTTTGTATATGGCCTTTATGATGTTGAGATATGTTACTTCTATCCCTACTTTCTTGAGGGTATTTATCAAGAAAAGATGCTGTATTTTGTCAAATGCTTTTTCTGTATCTATTGAAAGGATCGTATGGTTCTTGTCCTTTCTTCTATTAATGTGGTTTTTAAAAAATATTTTTACTTATTTCTAGGAGAGAGAGAGAGAGAGAAAGAGAGAGAGAGAGACAGCGTGAGCAGGGGAGGGTCAGAGAGAGAGGGAGACAGACTCCGAAATAGGCTCCAGGCTCCGAGCTGGCAGTCAGCACAGAGCCCGATGCGGGGCTCGAACCCACGAACTGCGAGATCATGACCTAAGCGAAAGTTGGACGCTTAACCGACTAAGCCACCCAGGCGCCCCCACTATTAATGTGGTTTTATCGCATTGATTGATTTGCAAATATTGGACCAGCCCTGCAGTCCAGGAATAAATCCCACTTGATCATGGTGAATAATTCTCTTAATACACTGTTGAATTTGATATGCTAGTATCTTGTTGAGAATTTTTGCATCCATGTTCATCAGGGATATTGGCCTGTAATTCTCCCTTTTAGTGGGGTCTTTGTCTGGTTTTAGAATCAAGTTAATGCTGGCCTCATAGGATGAGTTTGGAAACTTTCCTTCTATTTCTGTTTTTTGGAACAGTTTGAGAAGAATAGGTATTAAGTCTTCTTTCACTGTCTGGCAGAATTCCCCTTATTTGTTGGGAGGAACAAACAAGGCCTCTTGTTTTTTGGGAGATTTTGATAACTGATTCAATTTCTATGCCAGTTATGGGCCTGTTCAATTTTTCTACTTCTTCCTGTTTCAGTTTTGGTAGTGGGTGAGTTTCTAGGAATTTGTCTATTTCTTCAAGATAGCACACTCTGCTGGCATATAATTTTTCATAGTATTCTCTTATTATTGTTTGTATTTCTGTGGTGCTGGTTGTGATGTCTCTTCTTTCATTCATGATTTATTTGGGTCCTCTCTCTTTTCTTTTTAATGTTTGGCTAGGGGTTTATAAGTTTTGTTTATTCTTTCAAAAAACCAGCTTTTAGTATCATTGATCTGTTCTACTGGGTTTTTGTTTTTGTTTTACCCCTATATTGTTTATTTCTACTCTAGTCTTTATTATCTCCATTCTTCTGCTGGCTTTATGCTTTATTTGCTGCTCCTTTTCTAGCTCCTTTAGGTGTTAAATAAGGTTAGGTTGTGTATTTGGACCTTTTTTGCTTCTTGACATAGGCCTGAATTGCAATGTACTTTACTCTTAGGACCGTCTTTGCTCTATCCCAAAGGGTTTGGACTGTTGTGTTTTCATTTTCATTTCCTTCCATGTATTTTTTAATTTTTTCTTTAATTTCCTAGTTAAACCATTCATTCTTAAAATTTTTTATGTTTATTTATTTTCGAGAGAGACAGAGTGTGAGTCGGTTATGTGCAGAGAGAGGGAGACACAGAATCTGAAGCAGGCTTCAGTCTCTGGGCTGTCAGCACAGAGCCGGACATGGGGCTTGAACTCACAAACTATGAGATCATGACCTGAGCCGAAGTCTGGTGCTTACCTAACTGAGCCACCCAGGTGCCCCACCCATTCATTCTTTAGTAGGATGTTCTTTAACCTCCATGTATTTTGAGGGCTTTCCAAATTTTCTCTTGTGGTTGAAGTTTCATAGTGTTGTGATCTGAAAATATGCATGGTATGATCTCCCTCTTTTTGTATCTCTTGAGGGCTGATTTGTGATCCAGTATGTGATCTATTCTAGAGAAGGTCCCATGTGCACTTGAGAAGAATGTGTATTCTGCTGCTTTAGGATGAAATGTTCAGAATATATCTGCTAAGGCCATCTGGCCCAGCCACTTAGCTATTTTTTCTAACCAAGAAGCCATTTATGGTCAGCAATAAATGCTCAAAATCAAAGTTCCAAGGGATTTTTGAATCAAAGGGAATCTTATTAAAAGAATAGATCACAGCCACAGAGAATAAACCAACTTGAAATTAGATATTCTAAATAGATCCTTTCCTGTGTTCTTTCTATACACCATTGCTGGATTCTAGCTATATATTGTTTGATACAAGGAATTAAACTATCCCTAAAATAAATTCACATGTGATTTCCCTGTGTCTTGCTTACCTTCTTTCCAGGTAACTTCAGAAGAACTGAACAGTATAATTCATAATATAATGATCTGGGTTGTGGCTGCAGTGACTAGTATATTATACCCAGCCATCACAAAATATGAAGAAAGGTTGCAAAATATTGTATACCCATTGCCTGATGATTCTACCCTCTCTTCAAATAGTGTGAGTTGCTGCAGCACGTTCAGTGAAATGCTTCTATATGAAGCAAGTAAGGCATTTCAGGCAGAGGTCTGTGAAGACACAGCTGACAGGTCAGTACAGCAACCAGCAGCACCCATAAGCCCACCTTCTGCCCACAAAGAAAGAACAGTTACAGGAAAAACTCATCACAGGAAAAGACAATGTAAAACCTCTGGACCTAAAAATAATGAGACTGCTGGATCCCCTAAGATTAAAACCTGCAAATCTGACAGTCATCTTTCTGCACCAATTGAAACAGGCACAAAGGAATCTGAAGATGCTACCACTAAAACAGATGGCTTAGAACACCCACTGTCTACTGATGAAAAAGCAAAAGTTGTAAAGGAGATGCAGGAGTTAAAGAATGTTTTTGATAACTTCAAACATCATCTAAAAGAGGAAACTGAGCTGATTTTAGAAAATATCTTTCATGAAATGGTGTCTGAATTAACCCAAACCATTCCTATTCTTTCTTCTGTTATGGCAAAAACTTTGGATGACCAAACTGACATTGACAAAGGAGACTTGATTTCCAGTGCCAGTATCTCCTCAGCAGCTGCTGAAATTATGGAAAGCATGCTTGATAAGTTACAGTCTGTTGTTGAGAAAAAATGTATTGAAGTATTTTCACAAGAAAATTTTTCAGTTCACTTTAAATCAGACTTACCAATCAGTGGAGAACATTTCATTTCTCCAGAAGAAAAAACTTCAAAAGCTCCACTGTCTTACACTGTGGAGAACATGAGTGATATTGCAGAGGATATGGTTCATGTGATTTTAGAAAAGCTGATGGCTCTTGCATCTTCTAAGCAAAATGAACTTGCTCGTCTTGAAATCACAACTGAACTGGCTTATCAACAACACAGGGAAGATCCAATATATGTGTCCCTTCAAAGAGCCTGTAAAAGGAAATCCAGTGCTGAACCTGATGCAGCCAGTTTGAATGGCAGAGAAGAAATACAAAATATTGTGTCAAATATTTTTTCCCAGTCCTCTTTGGTTGGTTATATACAGGAAGCAATCAGCACTATATTAAATTATATACGAATTGGACTTAATGAAAGCCTCATTGCATCTAAAGAAACAGTGGTCATCCTTCAACTACTTGATGATATCTTGGCTCAGCTACATCAGAAACCAGCAAAGACAGTTGTCCAGAAAAGAAGACACCCTGGCCTAAGTAGTCCTTCTGGTACTGAAGAAGAGCACAGACTCACGAGCACTAGAGTAGCTAATGATCCTAGATATGGATGCCTATTTCCGCCTATTAATGTTCCTGGCATGCTTCTTTATTCTGAAGATGAAAATAAAGAAATAGACAAGATTGTGGAAAATGTGCTGATTTCATCTATCAAAGATGAAAAAGCAAAATTACAAGAACAGCTTCCTGATCACTGGCTAACCAGGAAAAATGGCGATTTAAAGTACAAAAGAAATATGAACTTACCTACGAAGCCTGCTTCTCAAGGCAAACTAGTATTTCCTGACTGGGGATTAAAGACTGACCTTCCAGCTTTTGATAATAGGGACCTTTTGAAGGACAAGCCATGTTTGAATAAAGACCATTTGCTTCTTGGCCAACATGTAAAGCATCAAATACAAAAAGCCTCAGAAAATATAATTACAAGTATTTTAGCAGAGATTCTCAAAGACATATCTTCTGGGCCCTCTGGTCACCTAGATTATAAAAATGATAAGGAAGCTTCACTTCTTACCTCAGAAAGCCCACAAGATCTTTCCTCTCAAGACTGGATGAACCAGATGTTCTCTGTGTCAGAAATCCAAATAATAGCTCAAGAAGTTGTAGATGCTGTATTAAAAATACTTTACATAGCTTATAGTCACATTATCCATCATTCTTCATCAGTAGATGAAACTTCTCTAGGTAATGCTGACATACCAAATAATGAGCCATTAGAAATATGGTTTGAGAGTAAAAGGAAGATGAAATTTTTATTTTTACTTGGCATAGACCCTACAAAAGATCTCTGGTTAGAACCTGAAGAAAGTAGATCAACACCTGAACCTATAGTTCACATTAGTGATAAGATCATCTATACAATTTTTAAGAAGCTGAAATCATTTATTTGTCCGAAATTGCAAAACTGCTTTAAACTAGAAAGCTATGCTGACCATTCAAAGCCTGTACCTGACAGGAAACCTTCATTTCAATCTCACTTTGGTACTTATACAACTAAAGTGGTAAAAATTGTTTTGGATGCTATCCAGAAAGAACTGAAATACAATAAGAAAAATGAAAATTTTGGGAAGAGTGGCTCTCCCAAGCATTTTATAGATACAGGAGTTTTTGCTGACTATGAAAAGGAATTAGACTCTGTTGTCACAAGGCTAAATAATGACATTATGATAAATTCATTAGCAACTTGTATTTGTGAGTTGTTAAGTGGAAATACAGGTAAAAGCAATGTTATACTCCCTTCAGATGAGCTAAGGTCTAAAATCTCACATGAAACTGCTGACATTGGTCAACAATGTCATTGTCCTCATATGCAAGAGAAAGTTGATAAATGTACCAGATTGCAAGTGTTAGATAGAATTGGGGATACCTTATATGACATGTTACATGAGCTCATAGGAGACCACCCATTTTCTCCCCCATCTGATGAACAAAATAGAGAGCAGATCAACGAGAATTTGAGGACAACCACTTCACTGCAGTCTAATATTCAGCTCATTTCTCATACAATTCTAGAAGATATCATTAGAAAATTATGTAGTGTTGAAATGGATCACATTTACACAAATTCAGAATGTATAGCTACCTCAGAGTATATTGATACTGACAGCCTATCATTTGCTTTGCTCCTTGAGGAAATGAGCAGATGCTCTGACATAATCTCCAGTATGATGTCCAGTGTGATCCAGCCAGGTAGCGAAGAGGTGACTAACAACAAGGGAAAGACAACTGCCTCCAAAACAGGGACCACAAAAGTAAAGCATACAGATAAACTGGAAGCCATGGCTTCAGAGATCTTTGAAATGGTTTTTGCTAAATTGAAATGGTTTGCCAATAGAAATTTAGAAACTCTGGGCACTACAGTCAGTGGAAATAAAAAGAACAATAAGAGGTACTGGGAAAGTGAAAGTATCAACATTTGTACAAACACACATGAAAGACAATTGCAGTCTGCTTTGTATGTGCATGCAAAGAAAGTATCAAGTACTATTTTGAAGGCTATGCAAACAGAATTAAATGTGAGTTTGCCAGATTTGGAAACAGATATGACCAAGCCACTACAGGAGAAAGAAGTGCTTAAGAATCTGGTCAATTTAATTTTAGATGCAGGGCATCCAAATAAGTTTAATGAAACTGAACCAGAAGATCAAGGCATTGAAAATTACAGATACAGGCCAACCTGTGGAAATTTTCTTCCTGGAGGAGCTGACCCAGAGTCTTATCTAGAAGATCTTGCAGATATAGAGAAAGAAAGCCCTCGAGAGGAAAGACCACCAGAAGAAACTAAATCAGAATCTCTTAAGCAATGGGACCTAGAAAGAACATTTAAAAATTTTGAAGTAGAACTCAAAGAACCAGAAAAGTCCCCAGTTGTGCCCATTATAAGAAATATTTTGAATGAAATTTTTCAGGATGACTTAATTGATCAATTAAGTGTGCTTACTCTCTCCCAATCCCATGTATTGGACACTCCTCATGCTGGAGGTAAACCATTTGCTCAAAAATCAATTCCATCTGTGGATAAAAGAATGGATCTTTTAGTGTCTGAAGCAGATGTAACTGTTGTTGTAGGTAATGTTGTTAGAACCATACTTCAAAAACTTTCTTCTGCTGCCATGACAGACAGAAATGCAAATGAAAATAAATATAACACTATCACCTGCTTGGCAAATATCTCTTTTCCTGAACATGCCAGTGGAGAAAAATCCTCTGTTCATTCTACCACACTGGACAGAAATCCAGGTACATTTCAGTCCACATTTGGTAGCAGTAAAAGGACCAAAATTAACGTAGTTGAAGATATTATACAGTCAGTATTAACAAATCTAGAAATGTTTGCTACTTCCAAAGTAAAAGCTCTCTTTTGTCCTCATATCAATCTCACAGTTCCAATGGCTTTGCCTCTACAGCAGGATGAGATTGCTTTAAGCCAACCATGGCTATCAACCAAACATTCATATTCTGATGATCAATGTTCCTCTTGCTCAGGGGATCATAACAAGTCTGGAGAGACCACCTCAATATGTCACCTGACTGCCTGTAAATTAAACAGATATGCGACAGAAGTGGCTAGACAAATTTTACAAGGAATCAAACAAAAGTTAGATAAAGAAATGGAAAATCCATTCTTAGCTCATAATATTGTGGTTTCTGACAGGATCCCAAGTCAGACTGTTAACACAGTGTTAAGTATTACGTCCACTAAAGGTAAATATGAAAAAAACATATTTGACAGAGCTATTGATCTAAGTCGGCCAGAAGATATTATTGAAAGGCTGTTCAATAAAAGTGATTATCGAAAAAAACTTCAACTTCAAATACTAGATACCATTGAAGGTATCTTAAGTGACATCTGTGAGAAAGCACTAGATGAGAATAATGTCCTACTTGCAGAATCCACTCTTAATAAATGTAACATAAGTGGGAAACATTTAGACGCAAACTCTGAAACAATCCCCAAGTGTGCAAATAAGGCTGTTCCAGTGCTTTTAGTTCCTAAGTCTTCTGTTGCTATGATTTCCAGTGATATGGTGGATATTGTTCTTCAAACTCTTACTTCTGCTATCATGCTTGGTGTAAATGCAAAGGATTCTATTTTTCCAAAATTGCCCCTGACGTTTTCTGGTGTATTTCCCGAAGCAGAACATCAACAACCTCTTGTTATGGACCCAATGAATGAAAGAGAAAGGGAGATACTTCCATTTGCAAGAAGGGGAAGAGATGTACAGCTGAAATCAATCTACTGTGATGATAATCAGACAACTATATTTAAAAGACAAGATGCCAAGAAATATGCTTTTGACCCATGTGAAGAAAATGCTCGCTTCATTACTAAAACCATTTTGAATAGATTAAAATCTTTTGCCACAGAAAGAATAGATTTTCTACTTACTCTTTATACTCAGACTAGAGAAAAACCATATGTTGTTGGCCCAGAATTTACAAATTATAAACAAAACTACAGTGTATTTCTTGAAGCAAACCAAACGCCATCAGATGTGAATATCCCAAAAGTCTCAACAGCCAGAACTATTCTTGGTCAAGAGGTAACAGATTACACATTTGCTAATTACAGAGAAAAACACAGACCTGCAATTCATATATCACAAGGTAGTCTTAGGGAATATGCTGATATAATTGCCAGTACCATTTTGATGCTTATAAAAAATGACATAGATTTAGAAATCCAAAAAATGTATTCATATCCAAACAATACTTCATTCCAAGAAAACATAATTGCAAGTGAAACTGTCTACAACATCTTCAAGAGTTTATGTGATAAAATATCTTTAAAGGCAAATAGGTTTTACTCACAGCAGAACCCTAACCTATTTACACAACTAGCTGTACAAAATGAAATATTGCCTGGTCAAAGAAAGATGGAAGATAACAGTGAACTATCTCTTTTTTCAAAATACCCACATCAAAACCAAATTCTATCAGAAGCAGAAAACCTGAGAAGGGTTTTGGAAGAGATATTTAAAAATGGAGAATCTAGACAGGAAAAAACTGCTTTGTTAAGTGTGATTAAGGAAATGTTAAAGAAGATATATCAAAGGATAATGGAAGACATAGACCATTGCCCTCCATTTAAGGAAGCCCCCCACTTTACATCTGGTTCTAAAATTAAAACATCAACAGCAGCACAAAAGAAAACCTTACAGTCACATATAAGCAGTGTTGCAAATGACATAGTTGAAAGTGTTTTCAGAAAAATGTTCTCAATAGTTACAACATCCTTATATGAAAACAAGGAGACCAAGGGAGAACTGGAAGCATCTGGCAATGATGAATTACTGATGAATCCATCATACTTTCAGGACTTGAAACAAGCAGAAAGAAGTGTCCCCCCTGAACATGTGACACTGCAAGTTTGCCCTTCTACAGGCTTTAGAGGTATGGCTTCTTCAGAAAACACCTTATTGCAAACTTCTCCACTGCAAGTGGGTAAAGAATTGGTCCAAAAGGTTCTCAAAAAGATCACAAATTTTGTTTTGCAAAACCTAGAAAACAATTTGTCCCCTAAAGATTGGTCTGATGAAACGCAATCTCTGAGGCCATGCAGTTCTAAAGCTAGTTTCAAAGGCAGCCCTAATACGACTTTTAAAACACACTCTAAAGCAAAATCAAAAGTTATTGTTTTGCCTAAATTTGGAACAAAACCACACCTAGGACCTAGTGGTGCTAAAGCCAAAAGCAAGACCAAGTTAAGTCCTAGAGTGAAGACTTTTAGAGGCAGTCAGTTCAATACTGGCATTGGTCTGCCATACCTGCTATCAACAGGGGATGCTAAAAACTCCTTAGTGAGAAGAAAACTCCCCACTGCAGAACTAAAAATGTATGCCAAGGATATAGTAAGCAATATTCTGGAAACAATTATGAATGAATTTCAAAAGATGAGGCAAAATAGACTAATGGTAAATATAAACACTTTAACTTCTGATCAAATCTTGACAGCAAGTAAATTAGTTAATGCAGTTTTGCAAGGATTATATGCTACAAAGAACAAAAATTTGGTCAACCAAACAAAAGGCTCATACTCCCATGATCTCAAACTTTCACAGATGAATTTTAGGCCAATCTCTCTTTCACATCCAGAAGCCCGTTTCTCTTTGGAGAACGTTTCTTCCCAGCTAGAGAAAGTCTTTCCTAAAGAAGATATTTTAAAACAAATGTTTGGCAAATGGCAAACAGAATCAAATGACATAGAAAATGACAAATATAAGCTATTTATGATAGCTGAGACTGTTCTGAATGAAATTTCAATGAAAACAAAAGAATTAGAACAATCTGTTTCATTTTTAAATTTGTCACCTCTTGAGGCTTGTGAAAGTAGGTACCATAACTTTAAAAGCACTGCTTTTAGAGCTGAAGGTTTTCAAGCACAAATTAATATATTTGGTCAGGAAATTGTTAAAAAGCTATTTGAAAAATTAGAGGTGTACTTTATGACTCAGATGTTCATAACAGATGGTGAAGAAATGCTAGAAAGCAAGAAAGAAACTTCTGCTAGAAATCAAGGAAGCTCCTTAAGAACAAACATCCTCAACAGTGTACCAACCTATAGCACAAAGTTGAAAGACAAAATATTTGGGGTCTCTAGCCACCAAATTGCTCAAGAGATCATGGAAGGGGTTCTGAACATCTTAGAATCATTTGCAGACCTACAGTTTAAACATATCACTACATATGCTTTTTCTGAAATTGTGAAAATACCTATTGAAAACTTTTTTGCTGTCCAACAGAAACCATTAATGAAAACAATATTACCCAAGTTACAACAACTGAATAAGTTTCCTGTTGAATCTAAATCAAGTAGTATGATCTCCCAGGAAAACATGCAGAATAGCCTTCGACAGCTTCACTCATTCCATTCAGAACTGCTTACTTATACCGCTAATATTGTCAATGACATGCTTGATATAATTAAGAACAACCTAGACAAAGAAAAATGCCAAATGGAACCATCTTCAAGTCAGATCATCAGCACACTGATGGACCAGTGTACTCATTTCTATGAATCGATCATCAAAAGCCATCCAAAGGAAAATCTGCTCCAAGTAGCTGAAAATGCCAACACTGCCAATTGTCACAGGTTTGCAACTGGGATGGGAATGTACACTTCAAAGTCAAAGGGAGTTAGCTGTGGGGATGATCTTCCACAAATCCCTGGCTTGTATTTTTATTCAGAGGAAGATAGAAAAGTAAAGGACAAGACTTCAGCAAATCTACCTTCATATATCAGATACTCTGCAGGTGATACACCTAAAACCAGAAAGCCATTGGAAGGGCTCAAATCAGAACTTAAACCATTATATTCTAGAGGTAAAGCCCATGGCCTCATCCATTTTGATCAAGCCTTGAAAGGAAACAGCTCTTTCCCAGAAGGCAGTGTCTTACAAAAACCATCTGAGAAATCTGGTGACTCTGGGCAAGCAGCACCAGAGCACTCCACATCCTTCATAGAAATGGAAGAAGGTGAAAATCAAAGAGTTCATCACTGTGAGTTTCCCAAACCAATTGTTAAGCTAAACCAAATACAGAAAACCATTTCTTCAACCAAAATATGTGTAGCTGCAGAAAATATTGTCAATACGATGCTGTTGAGTTGTAGCCTCTCAGGTCAAACTCCACAAACTAAAGAAAGTATAGAAATAATGAAGCCACTTTTTGTATCAAGGGAAAAGCCTTTGTCTCTAATGTCTGGAGAACAAAAGGATAATAAAAGCTTGCTTAAAATATGGGAAAAAAGAATCAGCTCTAAAACCAAAGAAGAAAACAAAAGCCTTGTAGCAAGTGGAGACGATTTCACTTTACTGGAAAAATGGAAAGATAAGTACCAAAAGTTAGAGAAAATAGCACCTCTTGAAGAGGCTGAAGTCATTGCTTTTGCAGATCAAGAACTGGGACCACATGAAATCCATCTAGTAGCAAGATATGTTACTATAGCTGTGGTCACACATTTCAAGAACTTTGAAGCCAGAGGTGAGTGAGGGATAACAACTTATAAAGAGTTGGCATCATTTTAGATTTTAAAAAGTCCATGAGTTTTGTTTTCACTTCTCACATCCAAGAAGCTGCATCCATTGCTTCTCTGAAAGTAACCTTGGATTTGGGGTGGCTGATTGTGTGTTTTTCAACTGGTCAGTATGCTAAAAGGAAAAAAATATGTTGACACATTTACATAATTTTTATTTGGAGGAGTGTTGTTCAGTTTTCACTATTAACAGATGAAATTAAATGGGCATAATTTAAAGTGATATATTTTGTTGGGCATGAGGTATGACTAGAACATGATGAATCCAGTTGTCTTGCTTGGGAAATACAGCTGCTCTAAAGGCAATTCCCAAACATAAGTTCAAAGAGGGTTTTTGTATGTGTTTTTTTAAAAGACTGATTTCTTAAGTTATAGTCAGAAGTTCCATACATAGTTAATTGACTGTAATGATCCAACTTACTTCTGATATATACAGTTAGTCTTTGCAATTATTGATGATAGAGTTTACAAGAACAGTGGCATTAAACTTCTTGTTCTATTCATGTGCCAATGTTCTGACTTAAGCTCTTTTTAAGTACAGTACTCTAAACCCATGCTTACAAATAGGATACCTGCACCCCTTTTCTATGAATGCTTACATGCATATATTGGGTTAAGCCATATAAAACAGCCATTTTTGTGTGTCAAAAACTGTCAAATATCAGCAGTCAAAAACTGTCAAATATAAGCAGTTTCATTCAGTTCAATTTACTATAGATTATAGAGTGCCAAATGGGATAATTAGCTAAACAGCTGAAAATGTTTTCAAGAATTATGTGAGGTCTCTAGTTATCACTGGAATCACTCTAGGGCATTGCACCTAAAGTTGAAAATCATTTCTCTGCCCTAAGATTTCTCTTCCCCAAAGCTGAAAATACGGCTATACAAGGAAGAAGCAAACAGAGATCTGAATTCTGTTTGGCTATTTTCTTAACTTCCTGGCTGAAGTAAAGTTCCACATGTGAGAAATCGAGATTTGAAGAAAACTCAGTTCCTTTCTTGACTAGGTTTTTCTATTTCTTGAGTAAGTTACCCCCAAAGTAAAATTCGTGTATAAAGTATTGATAGTATTTTGAATGCTCAACCTTTTCCATTAATGCATGTTAAAAATAGTAATGTTTTCTGTTTTAAGGTTCTCTTGATGAAAAAGTATCTATTGTTTCCACACCAATAAGGAAAAAATATGAATCGAAACAACCTCTAAAAAACATTAACTATGATTCTTCACTTTATAAATTTTGTGAACATCTCACTGAACTGGTTATTTCCTATATAATTTCAAGCATTTCTGACTGTACTGAAGATGGTGGAACAAAGCAGAAATCACTGGAAAACCAAGATGCAGCATTTAGCAAGGTTATTTTAGTTCATTCCCAAGTATTTGCAAGTCAGCCCATTTTTATCAGAGGACTTGCTTTAAGCATTTCTGAAATCATTATTCAAATACTTTTTCATAGTGACATTATAAAGGCAGACACTACACAACAAGTGGTTTCCATGAAAACAAAATATATTTACTGCCCAAGAGTAGCTGTGGCTGACTTTGATGATCTCTTTCAGGACCTCTTAATGGGAGTGATCCATGTTCTGTCCAAAGAAATAGGAATAAAGCATCAGTCTGACAGCAGAGGAAGAAACAAACTACTCTCCAGGCTTAAAAGCCATAGTTTGCCCATTTGCAACAAAACCAAAACTATGAAAAGACAGACAGGCCCCAAAAGTTGTCAGTCAGTTCCTACTCACCGAATTAATCAACTAGCACAGAAAAATAAACTAAATCCTCTGGCATGTAAGTTAGGCACTCTGGTTGGTAGCCTAAAAACTCATGAATCCAAGGAGGTAGTCAGTGAAATTTTCAATATTGTTTTCAATTTGTTTTTGCCAGATGAGTGCCCAAATTGGGACATGGATTCTGGTAAAATATCAAGAAAAATGTTCCTATCTTCTAATAACCAGCAAAGCCTTAGAATACCTAGAAATAACGCAGGGCTCTCCCCCAAATCAGCTTTTCTTCTGAATGTTGTATGTGAGAAATTTATTAGAATACTTTTGGAAAAATGTACAGCCCAAAACTTCCTTACAGATAGACCTTCTTCTGACGAAATTTCAGTAGAAGGTCAACTGTTCAACATACTTCAAAATGTAGATGATTATTGCAGGGGAACTATGGACTCTGGCTCACCATTTGAAGAATATGACATGTCAGACCTTTTGGAAAATCTGGCAGAAATAAATCAAGAATCTATGCTTAGTATCACTTCCCATATCTTGGTAAAATCCTTAATGGAAAAACTGTCATGTGGTATACATCGACTTCCCAGAAGTCCACTTTTTACAAGCAAGAATTTAATGTATAGTACTAGAGAAAGACTCCCTCGCTTCCCAAAAGGAAAAAGGCCAGAATTAAAAGAATCAAGACAGGGTAAACGCTCTGTAAGATTCATGAGTTATGACAGCAAGCCTTTGACAGAACCACTGAATAATCCCAGGGTGATTCATTCCAAAACACAAGCCCTATTTGGTAAGCAATTTTCAGGAAAATTCCCTCCTCTACCTCCTCTTCAAAGACCAGGTAAAAGGAAAGTGAATGCAACAGCCATTCTTAACATGCAACATCCAGAAGGCATGAACACAGGAGTTTTCTCTGCCACATTTCTGGAGGAAATAATTGCAGACATTTTCCTTAATCTCTCTACCTCATTGCAGGGCAAAAATGTAAACATCGCTGAAGCTCAGCTCAATGACATAAATATATTATATGTCAACTCCGTGGTGAATGAGTTTAACAATGCGCAAGTCACTGTTTTACGGGATGTTGAAGAAAGGATTTGTTTTCCACCAATTGATAAAGAAACTGTTAGAAAGATTGTTGACTCCGTTTATAGTGATGTTTCATGGGAATACACATTGCAAGTTACCAGTGGCAATCATCTGACACATGCTACCACCTCAATAGCAGAACAGATAACTAATGGCATACTGAAAGAGAGTATGGACTACCAACTCCCATTGTGCTTTGTAGGAAAGATCATGCTTATTTCATATTACCCTCTTAAAGCTGAAAATATATTGCAGAAACTTCAAAACAACCTGAGAGAATTTAATTACCAAGGTCAACATTCGATGGGCTATACCACCATGTTATCACACTCATTTCTAGAACATGTCATCAGAAAGCTATTATTTCAGCTCATTTCTCCACCCTGCGAGGCTTCATGCTTGGGAAAGAAGTATTTAATGACTTTGGATTTTAATGAGATATCCACCTGTATAATAAATAAGGTTTTGTTAGTCATTTCAAAGCATAGGATTTGGCTCACTAAGTATGATTGTCAACATCTATATACAGAAAAACACCTTCAAAATATGGTGGATTCTGTTTATAATAATGTTTTATTAATATCTGACTCTCTTGTGTCAATACAGAAAAGTATAGTAAGCCACAGCCCAGTTATGCTTGACCAAATGGCCAGTCTCATTATTCAAGAGATTATTGACAATCATCTTCAACCCTTTTTATGTGGAGAGAGCTTGCCTTGTTCAGTGACTCCATTGGATGAAATATCAAATATGGTTAAAGAGGTTCTCAGTGAGGTCATGGAGCCACATAGACCCCAGAAGCCATCATCACTAAGTATGGACTTTTATCCAAATGCATTTGTAGAAGATATTGTTGCCAGATTATTATCAAAGTTCTTTAATCCAAAATATAACACTGAATGTGAACTCAATAAAATGACCCAAAAAGTAGTAAACTTAATAAATAACCATTTTAACAAAGCTAACATCTGCATTCTTCGTGATGACCAGGAACAGTCTGTCCCTACTATAGATACAGACACTGTGGATGAACTCGTCAATTCAGTTTATGAGAATGTTCTGAAACAGCATGGGCTAGCCCCTGAGGTTGACAATGAAGAACTCAAAAGCAGTGATATTTTTGCAGAAAATGTTACCAATTTAATTGTGTCAGCTATTTCAGATTATCTATTTCACCCACTGTTTTCTGGGGACTTGTCAGCTTCTTCCTATGCTACTCTAACAGCAGAGAACATTATTCAGAATATCTTTAGTGACAGCAGTGAAACTACCAAGCCAAGCCAGCATCGATCTCCATATAACACCCTGCTGCCATACACATTTTTAGAAGACATAATTAGAGTATTGTTATCTAGAATCTTTCCTTCTACATCTAACATGGTTCCATACAGTGAAACTCCAAAAGGTGGATTAGGAATTAATTGCAGTGAAATCTCTTCAAAGCTAATCAGTGATATTAAGATGAAAATTGCCCAACATGAAATTCGATTTTCAAAAGATGAAGAAACTGAATCTATTTATTCAGAGGATGATGCTCAGCATCTCATTGATTCTGTATTCAGAAATATCTTGCAAAACTCTGGGTCTAAAGAAGCAGTTGAGCATGATATCACAAGCAGTAACAATGTTCTTATTGACAGAATAGCAGGTTTTATCATTAAAGATATCTGTCAGCAACATCTCCATCCATTTGTGTATGGAAAGTCATTACTTCCTCCATCATATACACATTTTGATGATATGAGAAAGCAGAATTTTTTTGCTCGTGTTTATTCCTCAGCCTTTTTGGAAGATGTGATCTCTGGGGTTTTAAGCAAAATATTCCAAAGGGTGTTAGGTATTGTGCAAATAAACTCAATAAGAGATTCAGGAAAAGAACTGTTGGAAATAGCTGAAAAACTCATATATTTGATAATGGAAGAATTCTCAAAAGCTCAAGTTGGCATCCTAAAAAATGCAAGGGAACAATTGTGTTTGCCACCAGTACACAGAGACGTAGTGATCGAAATTATTGACATGGCATATAGCAAAGTTTTACAAGAATATGAACTGGAACCTGATAAAGGATTTCTTGATGATACAAAAACATTGGCTGAACGGGTAACTAAAATTATCCTGGCTGAAGTTTTTGATTTCCAAATTCATCCAGATTTCATAGCAAAGTTGCCTTTTAAATCATATTCAAGACTCAATGCTGATGTTTTGATAAAGAGAGTTCATTATGCTATTAGTAAATCAAGACTCCGAAGACAGACCTATACAACCTATACTACCATATTATCACATACACATTTGGAAAAAATAGTCACTCAGGTTTTATCTCAGTTAAGTCCCTTGAACTGCAATGCAGAAGACCCAGACTTTTCGCAGTCAGACTTTAGCAACACATTTGTGAGGCTGATTGGTGAAACCATGTCAATAATTTCTAAACATGCAATATGCATTATTAAGCATGGAAATGAAAAACAAAATGTGATTTCAGAGAAAGACATCCAGGCTATGGTTGAGGCCATTTACACTGATATTTCTCATTCAAGTCTATACCAGTCTATTACAAAAGATAAAGAAGGCATGAATAATATACCTATTAGAAAAATAGCAAGTTATATAATAAAAGAAATATTTACCCATCATCTTGAGTCATTTTTACCTGGAGATAAAACTCTTCCTTTAGGTACTGTGGGTCAAACTTATCAACAGAGAGCAACAGATCCTAAACAAAGAGAATTATTGTTTATTGTGAATTCAGCTGTCTTTTTAGAGGATGTAATTTCTGAGCTTTTATGCAGAATCCTTTATATATTCTCACATAATGTCTTGGTCGCTGAAAACCTATGTAAAGCAAAAGCCAACATAACTAACATTGTTACAACATTAGTAAAATCAATTGTGCTGGAATTCACCACAACAGAAATTTTAGTTGCAGATCACTTGGATGAAAATCTGTATTTTTCAGAAGGATATAAAGAAATAGTTAAAAAAACTGTCAGCCTAATTTATAAAAAAATATTAGATGATCATAAATCTCTGATTCATATTTATAGAGCTATACAAAGTGATGCTGTTAGTTTTGGGAAAAAAATATGTTATTTGCTAGTAGGAGAAATTTATGATTATCAAGTTGAGTCATTAGTTTTGGGAGAATTAGCAGCTTCTTCCTATTCCTCCCTCAGAGATGAGAACATCATCAGAAATGTGCTTGACACCATCAACAATGATAGCCATGTTTTGCCATCATGTTTCACTGTATTCCCTCGTTCCCTTTTAGAAGATATTAGTTACAAGCTTCTAGCACGTATATTCCTTTCATCTGAGACAGAAACTGAACTAAATGAGAAAGAGGTGCCACCAGATCATGAGTTCGTGAATGCAGCTTCAAAACTGACTGATGAAATTATAACAGAAATTTCTGAACATGAAATTAGACTTGCCACAGCAGAGGAGCATGTGGAAAGTATGCAATTAAGGGCAAATGAGAACTTTATTGACTCTATATGTAATAACATTATGAAAAAAATTAAATTAGGAGATGAAACACAGAGTGACTCATGCAAAAAGGGAAACTCATTCCTCAAGAGAATAGCTGGTTTTATTATGAAAGAGATTGTGGACCACCATCTGCAGCCATTTTTACATGAAGAATCACCTCCCTGTGACTTACCCACAAATGACCATATCATTGAACTCTTAGAACTTGATAAAGAAAACAAACAGTCCTTCCCACAGGCTTCTGTGTATTCTGCTACATTTTTGGAAGACGTCATAATTGAACTTGTTCGCAAATTTTATACTCTCCCAAGTATTGCGGAAAACCCTAAAGACAAAGAGATATCAGAAAAAGACCTCATGAGCATGGCTATAAAATTTGCAAATGCCCTGATTGGGGAGTTTAGGAAAAGTAAAATTAAAGTCCTAGCAAATGCTGGAGAAATGTTTTCTTTTCCACCAATAGCTAAAGAGGCAATCAATAAAGTATCTGATTCTGTGTACAATGAGGTCATAGAAACATGTGGATCTAACAATGTTCAGAAAGATGATGGAAGTAACATTGTTATAGAGATAATAGCTTCTTTGGCCAAAAAGGCAATCTCTGCTTACAAGATTCAACTACTTTTTTCAGGAGACTGGTCTTCCACCTTCTTTTCATTTCTAAATGTGGATAATATCATCCAAAGAGTTCAACACCTTCCATATAATACATTTACAAAAATAAACAAAAGCTTGAAGGAGAACCCAGTTTCTTCACTAAAACAATTATCTACACTTACTCCTTTAACCTCAGGCCTGAAAGATGTAATGGACACTTTGGAAATAGGTAGAGGAACACTTCATGAAAAGGGGAATTTCAAAAAGAAGGACACATCTATGAAAACAGGCAGAATCCATGAGCCGATCTGTACTACTATAACTAGCATTATGAAGGGTGAATTGACTACCCTAGCATCAGAGTTAGTTGGATGTGTGGCAAATAAAAAGAAAGGGAATAAAAAGAAAAAGGAAAGTTCAGTTGGAAAAGATAATGAGAAGGCATCAAAAGTTACTTCTCCAACAACTAATGTGGAAAGTGAAGATACTCAGGGGCCAGATTTGAGTATGGTACTTACAAAGAATGAAATCAAGAAGAAAGACAGGTCGGGTATAAAAGATGAGAAACAACGAGGTGATGAGATGTACCAACATCTTTCATCAGCTACTGATGGTACAAAAACCAAGAAGGTTCTTTTGGAACCAGATTTAAAAATAGATAAAAAGAAGAGTGACAAGAAAAGAGAGGGTGCATTAGAAAAAGAGGCTAGACCTTCTGAATTACCATTTGTGAAATCCAAGGTGAGAAATAGAGAGATCCAGGAGAAGAGGAGAGATTCTCCTGCTTACAGATTTACTGATGACAAACAGATCTTGCATCTTAAACATGTGCAAAATGTCACTGAAAGCATTTACAGAAATGTTTTAGAAATATCTTCTTTCCAAGGACCAGTAGATAATTCAAAATCCTCAAATCCCCTACGTGATAAAGCAGCATACGTAACTCAAGCAGATGGCAAAGATTTTTCCCAGCCTGCCTTAAAAAATTCAGCTAAACAAAATGTTCCTGCAAAAGAGAAAGAGAATGAGAAAACTAAAGATACAGATATTAAAAGTAAACTTAGTAAACCAGACAGTCCACCAGAAAATAACCCCAGGTTTTTTCCTGCTAACTTTTTAGAAGATGTTATCTGTGAAATAGTTAAAAAATTGATTTTTAATTCCTCACCAGGTATAGATGCTGCATGTCAAAATGTAACCAATAATGCAAATCAAGCTGAGCTCTATGACACGGCTATGAAACTCATTGATTCTCTGTTAAAAGAATTTTCAGATGCTCAAATTAAAGTATTAAGCCCAGATCAGGTAGGTCAGTTCCTCCCATCTTCAGATAAAGTTTCATCAGTTCACAATGTACCTCTCAGGCAAAAAGAACCTTCTGCAGATAAAGCACCTCCTGAGAAAAAAACAGCACCTGCCACTAAAACACCTTCTTCCGACGAGGCACCTTCTATGGCTAACACACCATCAAGCGATAAAATGTTGGTCAGTAAGATTGTTCACTCCTCTATATGCAATATTTTACAGGAATATAGATCTCAAGACTCCATTTATAAGGACATAAATAGTAATGGTGAAAACTTAGTAAGAAAGCTAGCTAATGCAGTAATAGAAGAAATTTTGCAGCATCAGCTACACTTGCTACTTTATGATGAGGTTCCAGCTGCAGCATGTTTGCCTCTAGAATCTAAGCAGGTTATGAAAAAGGTCCATAAGGTAGTCCAAACAGCATGCAAAGAATGTCAAACATCATCACCATATACCATAATGCTACCTTATGAATTTTTAGAAAGTATAATTTCTTCTCTTCTATCAAAAATTTTCTCAACAGTATCCAATGCTAAAACAGGAATATCTGAAGATAATTTGTATGCAGAAGTGGATTTCCTTCAAATGAAGTTAGTAAGTACAATTATGGCAGAGATCTCCAAAGATAAAGATATGATTGTACAGTACGTAGAATCCTTACATCCTAATGATGATGAAATTATTCAGTTAGTTGTTCAGACTATTTATAATAATCTCTTGCCACAATTTGGATCTCAAGAGGGCATACAAAATTGTGTCGGCAGTGGTTGCAAAATCCTTTCAGAAACCATAGTTAATTTAGTTGTACAGGAAGTGGCTGGCAACCAGTTGCAGAACTATTTTTCTGGAGAACTAACACCACATCAATGTATAGAAGTTGACAATGTTGTTGAAAATATCCTTAAAAATGTTATCCAAACCACTGAATTTCCCCAGCCTCAGCCATCATGGGCTTACAAACTGCCTTTTAACATAATAGAAGAGATTGCTGTAAATTTTTTGTCAAAGCTTTTATCTATGTTTCCAAAAGCAGATAAGAAACAAAACAATTCTCTAAATGCTGAAATGCAATCCATAATCTCAAAAATCTTAAATTCATTCCAAGAATATCTCTCTAAAAGTCAAATTATTGTAGTGCCACAGGCCAAAGAATCACCCACTGTATCTTTAGCAGACAGTACAACTATTGAAAAAGTAGCTAATTCTGTCTATAACAGTGTTTTAAGGTGCTCTGGTTCCCATATTTCAGTGTATAAAGATTTAAGAGGTAAGAGCAATGTTCTAGCTGATATAATAGGATTTTTAATGGTGAAGGAAATTTCCAATTCAGAATTTCATCCTCAAGTAGAAGAAGAAACATCGAGTTCAGAGTTAGTTCTGGAAGCTGTCAAAATTATGGAAAAAGTGGTTAAGATCATTGATGACCTCAAGTTAAAGAAAAAGCTTTCAACCAAAAAAGATACTGTGGTAGATGCCAGGTTTTTAGAGGAAACTTTGGCCTTGTTCTTGGCTAAACTAATAAATTTGCCAAGTGCCTCAAGCAAAAATGCTAAAAAATTATCAAACTCTGAGGTAAATAAAATTGCATCTTACTTGACAAAATCTGTGACAGCTGAAATTTCCAAAAATAACATTAGTGTTGTAGCTACTAACCCTGAAGAAACCTTTTTAAATCCAGAAAGTATAGAAATTATTTCTCAGATGATCAATTCCATTTATAATCATGTACTACAACAATCTGGAACGCATGAACAACTTTATTATGACATGAAAGGTACAAACAATGCCTTCTTTAAAGAGGTAGCTTCTTTAATCATCAGTAAAGTTTCCAACTGTCCATTAGAAATAATTAGCCCACAAGATTCACAGGCTGATCTCTTTGGCGATTTGGATGTTGGTCGAATTGTTGAAAAGGTGCATGAGCATGCTGTTAAAAGAGGGCCTGAGTTAGATCAAAAAGAATTAAATAAAGATTTAAGCAAAGAGGAACTTCCAATTAAAATAATTCCTCACTGTGGGAAACAACCAATCAATATAGACCCAGACATTGTTGCAGAACACCTAGGAGTCATTTCTATAAAAACACAATCTCTTGAGAGACTGCAGATGGAGTGTTTAACTAGAACTGGACATAGCATCGAAGCACTGAGAAGAGTGGCAATAAGTGGAAGGAGTCATTCAGTGAACACACCTGATGCAGGAAAGGGAAAGAAAGAAAGACGTGTCTCATTGGATGAGGGGGGAAGACTGAATATAAAGCCATTAGAGGTAAGTGCTAAACACAATGGTGAAAAGAAATGAGTAGTTACTAAGACCTGATTGTCTTGTGATTTCCTTCCTCAGGTAGGTCTATGGGAATGCATTTGTAAAATATGGTCTATTTTATCTTGCCCAACCCAGTAGAATGGGACACTAATTCATCCAATTCTCTGCTTTCCTGGGACTTACCCCATCAGATGTGTGGCTCGGTGTAAAGGTGGCAGGCTATTTTCCATTAGCCAGTCAGACTAAACTGCCATTTCTTGAAGAATGGGAATATGAGGAAATACCCTTAACGGTAAACAGGACTGACTGGAATTGTAGTCCTCATTTGACAACTCGGAAGAAATGTGATTTTTATAATTCCCACAATTCTTTTTTATGGATGTGCATTATCATAGTACTGTATGGGTCCAAAAGGGCTGGTTAGAATAACAGGTAAACCTGTTAAAGATTGAAATCCTCAAACTTAAGGCTTCACAATAGTATTGTTTTTACTTAGCAACATTCATCAACAAACATCAGGCTGCAAGCTCTCTAAAGTTCATTTGTTTCTCATTTCATGTTCATTACATAACATTTTCCCAGTTCCCTATATTCTTACATACTCAGGAGGTACCCAGTTTCTTTCCTATTCTGTCCTTGTTGTAGACAGAGTTGTCTTCGTGCTTCTGCTTTTATGAACTAGTTTTTCTGAAGTCTTATATTTGGGCTCTGAATATACTTAAAAGGGGCTTGAAATGCCAAAACACTGTCCTTGGTACAATATAACTATTGAAAAAGTAGTTCTGTTTACAGATCTTAGGGCAGTAGGGTATAGGGACTGTCTTTCAAGATGGAGTTACACTGATCCAGCCCCACGTTCGCATGTAATGAATACCAAAGCCCTCTGTATAAATGAGTCTCTTGCAAGGATAATGGTGTGCACTCACACTCGGGATGTAGCCTGTGATTTACAAACTGTGCAAAGTCCTATAGAACCAGCCTGCCTGGAGCATAAGCCTGGGAGCAGGTTTTCCTAAGCATTATTTTCCAACCCACTGAACTAAGTCTCAGAACTGGTGAAAACATTATGGGTACTTTTTTTTGTTTGTTTCAAATACTGAGATTGTCATAGACACTGATGGAGTCACCTTGGTCCTTAGTTTCTTGGACCTAATGAAGGTCCTTTCCAGTTCTAAAATGTCCTTTTCTCTCTGGGTTCTCAAAATTACATTGGCATTTACTTAGTAACCTTCATGTATATATAAGTAATTCCTTGGGTACAAGATCTATGTGTCTAAACTAAAGAACATTACTCCCAAGTCATTACATCTTAATCATCTGCAGAAATATCTGTCTTGGCTACCTGCTTTCTTCTTTTACATCCTTTATCATACTTTAACTATCTCTTTAGTCCCACAGAAAGCTGGAAGAGATTAGCTAATCAAATCAACTATGCTGCTACTCTTAAGGGAAGCAAAAGCTGTCTCAAGGAAAGCAAACAGTCATAGATAGCTCAGTTAAGACAGATACTCTGCAGCTATCTGGATAGCAGTGCTGTCCATCCCCAACATGGAGATGGAGGTTTCATAAAGAATAGTACATCAGTTTGAGGAACCCAGACAACTCCCAGGCTAGTCCTCAGTCAGGAATCCATAAGCAGTGCTTCATTTGCTATTTTGAGGTACCAAAACTTTCCAACACATCAGACACATGTCTATCAAAGACTCATACAGTGATATATTCCAGAGCCATATAGAAGACTTGAGTTTTTGAACCACTATTTCCTTCCACCAGCACAGATCATCAAAATTGATGGTGTTTCAGTTTCTTAACAGTTCTTTTGTTTTGTTTTGCACTATAAGGCACCATTTCTCTGAAAATCTGGTGTGCAGTGTTACAGAGATCTAAGATTGATCATTCAAATTGATTTAAAGGTTCTGTGGCATCATCAAAGGCTACAGAATGGGAAAAGTCATTTATTTAATTATAACTGTCTTTTCCTTGATCTGTCTTTACCATTGCAAAATGGAAAATGACACTTGACTAGGGAGGTGAGGAGAGATGAACATTTACTCTTTGAAGCTCCGTACATCTTCAAGGATTAGAATGTAGAGAGGTGACAAGTAAACATTCAAAGCTCTTCACAATCATTTTTTAGAATCCAGGTCAGCCAATATCTCTTTTTTATCATGAAAATGTCTATATTTAAATTGCTCTATGATTGGCTCCCTCACTAAGAAGCTTAGAAAAACATGTTAAACGTCTAAATGTTACAGAACTTTCCAGGTAAATGATGAAAACAGGATGTAATTAGAGTATTTGTGCATTTTGCATTTCTCGGCACGTAAAAAGTAAAATGTGAAGCAAAAGAAAAAACTTACTTAGTCTCCCTTCTTTGGACCAGATGACACTTCTTGAATGCAAAACAAAAAGATTATTGAATGAACAAATATTGCTTATGATTTTTTATTTATTTCTTCTTTAAATATACCGCTACTATACCAGTAAATGGCATTTGAGGATAATTTTACTAAATTGAAACTGACAACTATATGAAAATTGCTTTATAACTATAGAACCACAAGAAAAAATGACCGAGGCTATTGTTTTTAATATTAATTGTATCTTTAATTCCAGACTGCTAGTAGGAATTCATTTCAGAATTTAATAAAGCCTGACATCACCAAAGTGGAGCTTTTAAAAGATGTCCACGGCAAAAAAGATCTTATCATTCGTTTGGTAACTCATGATATTGATCCAAGAGTTTCAGAAAATATAGTAGAAGAGAGCTTAACTTCTGATGAAGATGAAGTTGTTTTACAGGAGGTTGTGAAAGAACAACTTCCAGAAAATCCATTTGAAGATCAAGTAAAAGAAGACATGAAGCCCATTACAAGCACAGTGGCTTTTACCAAACCACTGATGAACAAGAGAAATCTGAAAAAATTTTTGTCACTAGGAAAATGTTGTCATCCCAAATCCACTGCAACTTCAACAAATACTGAAGCATCACCAACTCAACAGATAGAATCTGAGGAGACACAACAAAGAACTGTTTCTAAGCCTGTTGTGACTACATCCAAATCCTCAACTGGCACGGATTCTTCCTTTTGGGAAAGAAAGACACAACTAAGTGTAAGTGACAAATGTGACTATCAATAAACAGGTTTCTTCAGAAAAGGCACAGAGTTTCACAAACTTAGTCCAAATAATTTACATTGGGTAGGAAGAAAAGGTCATAAACTGGATCCAGGCAGTGTCTCCCAACTTTGATGATATTTACAATGAAAGGGAAATGATTAACAGATAAAGCCAGAAGCCTCAATTGAAGAAAAATAGATCATAGAAAGAGTCCTGGGTTAGTTAGAAGGACAAGAAAAACAGAAATGGAAACCAGTTAGGAGAAATGCAATCTAATTATTTAAAATCATTGATTTAATTATTTTTTGTACTCAGACCTATAAACAGTCACTGGAAGTTCTGTTTGCAGAAACTCCATGCCAATGGGCAAGATCAGAAGACGGGCTGGAGGAGAGTAAAAAGATTCATGCAAATTCAGCCTATCTGGGTTTGAATTCTGGCTTTTCCACTTAGTAGCCATGTGATCCTGGGGCAAGTTACTTAACTTTTTTTCTCAAAAATTATTTATCCAACTTGTTGAAATGTAGCAAGTTAGTCAAAGTATGTTGAATCTTCCTCAACCCATAAGCCCCACTATGACTTTGACACACAGCGCCTGTCCCTGGTTCTGTATCCTTCTACTGAAGGTCTGTGTTAGCTCTACCAAAAAATTGTACCATACATGTGTTTGGAGAATACACATAATTTAGGATTTCCTAGTGAGACAATCTCCTGTATTATCCATTTACAATGATTTCCAGGTTAACCCAGAAATCGCAGTGAACCAGAGAAAAGAAAACACAGAAGTACAACTGTGGCCAATTCAGAGAGCTCACCATGTACAAGAGCCTCAACACAAACTCAGATCTATTTATTAGGATCTATTTATTAAATGGAAGCCATGTGAGATTTCAGGAGCAAACACAGTATGCCTGGTCAGAAATGCTGGCTACATAGATAACTAAGGAATGTTATAGTATATTTTACTTGATTTATTATAAAATCTTTTTGTAATTACCTGACTTGTACTTTTCCAGGGAGAAGAAATGAAATCTAGTACTGAACCGGTACATTACTTCTTACATAGAATTATGAGTTCATCCTCATACAATGAAGAGGACCTGCCTTCATTTTCTAGGTACAGTTAATTAAAGCAATACAAGTTGGCTAAGAAAATAGAAATCCAAAATGAAAATTATGTTGGTGAGAAGCATGGACCCCTCGAGTAAACCTGTGAGGAAGCCAGTGTCTCACCCCTCAAACTCCCCTCAACTCCTTCCCCTTGTTCCCCTCTGTGGTCACTGCCTAGGCCTCCCCTTTCTATTTTCTCTCTCATTCCTATTTATCTGGTCTCTACTTGCTTCTTTCTACTATAGTAGTCTGGTTAGTATAGTTAGATTAAATCTTAAATGTGTCAGAATCTGGAACCTAAGAGGCCCTGGGTCAATAATAGTTCCTGCACTAATGGCCCACTGAAAGGGCTTCCTACTTAGTTTCCCTATGTACGTAAATGCTCAACAGTGAGGCACTATCACAGGGATCCCAAAAATGGAGGGGTTATGTAAATTGGAGCATTCTGGGAAGAATTCTCAAAACAAGTGGAGTTTGGGTTGGGCCTTAAAGGATGGATGAGATTTAGATAAGTCCATCCAAGTTGGGGAAGACTGTGAGAGAAAGACTGGACTATGCACTATTTATAGGAGATGCTGTAGACTTGAAGTCTGGTTAACACTTTTTCTAGAATAGCCCAAACATGCCTAAAATTGTTCTTATGTTTACAAGAATATTCACAAACTGGGAAGAGAAACACTTTGCATCATGGGATAAATAGGGTATAAGGAGAAAAGTCTACCTGATGGCAACTATATTCTTTTCCACCTCACACTATGAAATTAAGGTTTCTTTTTGACCTGATGCTATTTTAGGACACCTACCCCTGGCCCACCATTGACCCTCTCTCCCCTCATGACAGTTGTAACATACATAAGTAGTAATGCAGGCAACTGTCAATTATTTGTGTCACTGGAGAAGAAAAGAAGGCACATATAAAACCAAACAAAAGTCAATGTAGCAATCATTTTCACTTGATTTGAGAATTCAGAGATATACCATTCTAGATTTACTTCTATATGAATAATGATTTTGATAGATTGTTCTTTTACTTAACCAGTATTCCTTCATATATTACATACATAGAAAATGAAATGTCTTTATCTTTTTTTAGTGGTGATGATGATCGTCCCTCAGATCCAAGTGCCATAGTGTCAGAAGGTTGGATTGATTTTTTTCTTAATTTAGATACTATTTAAAAAGACTTTGCTCTGCATTGATAAATTTCCTGTTGTTAAACATGAAGTTAATGCTGGGCTTTCTAGTAGGTTGACCTACATTGGGGATGTAGTTAACATGAGCCGACTACTTTGCTTTTTCTCCTCTCCTCTCCTCTCCTCTCCTCTCCTCTCCTCTCCTCTCCTCTCCTCTCCTCTCCTCAGAGAGCACGAGCAGGGAGGGGAGAGGGGCAGAAGGAGAGAGAGAGAATCTTAAGTAGGCTCCATGCTGAGTGGAGACGCAGCTCGACGCAGAGCTTGATCTCACAACCCTAGAATCATGACCTGAGCCAAAACCAAGAGTGAGACGCTCAACCCACTTAGCTGCCCAGGCGCCCCTAGTTTGATTTTACTGAATCACTAAGAAGATTTCATTAATAATTTTGGTATAAAGTACATGGTATGATATTAAGAGTTTAAAATTGCTATTCTCCCATAGGAAATATCCAGGAAATATGGGTTTATTACATCTATATGTGGACTAGAGTGCATGCTACTAGGATTTAATCATCTCTTTAAGAGTGTATGCTTTCTTTGTATAACTAGCTTAGTCCCAGTAAAATATATAAAAAGGCTTTTAAAGCTACAAATTAAACCTAAATTTCTTTGTTCATGTTAAAATCTTGCTAGGGTAGATTCTACTTTATCTTTTGTCTCTGTTAGAACTGACTCACTAAAATATTTACAATTTGAGTTTTTGGTCCCCTATTCTTTTTTTTATGTTTATTTTGAGGGATCATGTGTGCAAGTCAAGGAGGGGCAGAGAGAAAGGGAGAGAGAATTCCAAGCAGGCTCTCTTGTGGGCTTTGATCCCACAAACCACGAGATCATGATATGAGGCAAAATCAAGAGTTGGATGTTTAGCCAAATGACCAGGTGTCCTTGGTCCCCTGTTCTTTCAAACTGTAAAGGATCAATGTGGTTCTCACAGTGACAGCATTGGTCTAGAGGTGGGAGTGTAATGTTTACTATAATGTTTACTATAAAGGTGGCCTTGAAAGTCAAACTACAAGGCTGGAGTTGACCTTGATTATTTCAAGCCTGCAGCCCACTCAAAAAGTTACTCGAGAAAGCTATTCTCTCCACTTGTAAGTGGAAATAACACTTATTAAAAGATGAACCATAGAGTATTGTTAAGTTGGCCAGAATTCCATGAGCAGGTCATAGTCAGAAGATGATATAATATACCACTGGTGTGTAGCCTGTAGTATGGAATCATCATACGCTATTAGAGCCAGAAAGAAGCCATCTAATATAACTTCACTTTAAAGATGAAAAAACTGTGGCACCTGAGTGGTTCAGTTGGTCAAGTGACTGACTCTTAATTTCAGCTTAGGTCATGATCTCACAGTAATGAGTTCAAGCCCCATGTTGGGCTCTGCACTGAGCATGGAGCCTGCTTGGGATTCTCTCTCTCCCTCTCTCTCTGCATCTCCCCTACTCATTCTCTCTCTCTCTCTCTCTCTCTCTCTCTCTCAAAATAGATAAATAAACTTTAAAACTTTATTTAAAAAAATAAAGATGAAGAGCCTGAGGTTCATGGTGGGGAAGTGACTTGTCGAAGGTCATACATTGAGTCAGAGTATAGATCCCAAGTCTCCTAAACCTGAATCCATTGTATTGTTTTCCTCAATTTCATTGCACTGCATTATGCTTATTTCCTACATCCTTTGGTAATACTGCACCTCTCCAGTTTGTTCATTCAATCACATTCAACAGAGATTCTCTGAGCACTTTCTTTGTGCTAGACACAGTTCTAAGTTCTGGAGATAAAGCTCTGAGTAAGAGAAACAAAGCCCTTACCCTCATTCTAACTTGGGAGTCAGGAGACAGCATAAACACAATCAATCTAGATAAGAATAAATATCCTCCATCTCGCATAGGGTAAAAGCCAGAGTCTTTATAGTGGCTTACAAGGCCTCACATGGTCTGGACAGTTCTCCTTGCTCCCCAAGACCTCTCCGACCACCTCTTCTTATGATCCCTCTTAAGCACTCTACTCCAGCCACACATGCCCTCATACATGCCAAGCATTCTCCTTTCTCAGAACCTTTGCACTTGCTGAGCTGCTTGAAACATTCTTCTCTCAGAGATCTGCATAGCTCTCTCCTCACTTTCTTCAGATTTTGCTTAAATACCATCTTCTAAGTAAAGCCTCCTCTGAGCACCTTTAAAATTACAACCCCAGCATTCACTGCCATCCCAACACTCCCTATTCTCCTCCCTGCTTTCATTTTTTTTCCTAGCATTTATACCACCTGATGGATTGTATGTTTTTATTTCTTTGTTGGCTATCTCCCTCCCCTAGAATTTAGCTCCATGAGGACAGGGATTTTTGTCCCTTCACTATATCCACACATGACTAGAAAAAAGGCACATAGTAGGCACTAAGTAAATATTTGTCAAATTCATGAATGAATATGATGAAAAGAAAGAAGAGCTAACGTGATAGAAAGTGGCTGGCTAGATTAGTTTGGTCCAAATCCAGAAACATCAGACCATAATGACAAAAGTAAGCAGCGACAGGAAGAACTGGAAGCAGAGGATCCCAGGCACAAGGTACAGTAAGTGCAAAGACCTTAGGATGGTATGAGCTTGGTATGTTAGAGGAAAAAAATAAAGGCCCCCAGTAACTGGAGCCCAATGAGAAGGAAAGTGGTGTGAGATGGGGTTAAAGGGATAGGTAGGGGTCAGATCACATTAGGGCCTGTTATATGCAATGGCAAGGAGTGTGGATTACTTTTTGTCTACAACAGGAATCCTGTGGATTACTTTTTGGTTGCAGGGAAGTGATATAATTTATTAATTTAAAAAAATCCCTCTGGCTACTATTTGGAAAAAGAGCTAGGTAGGGATAGGGTTAAAGCAGGGAGACTGGTTAGGAGGTTTTCACAGTAATCCAGCCAAGAAATGATGGTGGCTTGGACAAGGGGTATAGCAGTGGAGGTGGTAAAAAGTGAACAGATTCAGAATGTATTTTGAAAGTAGAATCAGCAGGACCTGTTAATGGAGTGGATGTTGGAAGTGAGGAAAATAGAAAAAGTCAAGGATGGATCCTACAATTTTGGCTTGAACAACTAAGTGCCTTTTGGTACCATAAGGTGGTGAGATGGTTGGGGAGCAGGTAGCAAAAGTGGAGAGGAGAGAGGGAACAAGAATTCTGTTTGAGGTGTGTGAGAATGGGACCATTAGATACTCAAGTGGAGAGATCACATGAGCAGTTGGATAGTTTAGAATTCAGTGGGGAGGTGACGGCTGCAATACAAATTCTTAGTTTCACAGACTATAAAATCTAAACTTGACTCTGACTGTCTGGCACTCTCAAGTACCTGGAATTTTTCTATCCCGTCTTTATCAGAACAACTTCTTAGATATATCCAGAAGACTTGCTATGCACTTAGCCTAGACGTTTAAAAAATTATATTGGAATGATGGCCCAGATAAGCCCAAATGTCCCCAATTGTCAAAAAATATCAGTTCAAATATGTACAGTACACAAGACTTCCTAAGGTAGGAAAGTACATTCAGATACCTTAGAATAATTAGCAATCGATAATAAAATTTATTGGATATTCTGGTTAATCAGTTTCATCAGATAATTCAACTAATGGGATCTCCCTCATATTCAAGGTAAGTGAAGTTTTAGTATATTTTCTTCTAGAGCCCTTGGCGCAAAGGGTAATCCAGAGAGAATCTTTTCATCTTGGTCCTTTATGATTACACATGTAAAAAATGTATATCAAATACATACACATTATTTCATCTGGTCCTCTTGTGAGAAAGTAGTCACATCCCCATTGTACATATGAGGAAACAGAGTCAGAGAAGGTAGAGAAGTCATCCACCATTCACTGAGCTCCATAATGAAATTGAGACTCAAATACAGTTTTACTGACTCCAAACATGTCCATTGTTCTTTTTAATACTCTCTGCCTCCCTAGATGTGGGTCCTTTTGAAACTTCCCTCTTGGTATTATCTCTACCTCCTAAAGCCAAATGTCAATGGTGTCTGTCAATCACTGATGTCTCCTGGAATTCAAGATAATGCCTCAGTGCTCCCCTGATCTTCATGGGAAGCACCATTTCCTAAGAGCAGCACCTTCCTTTCTGGCATTCCTTTAGCTGGCAGCCCTATCAGTTCTTTACAACTTCCTGCAACTAGAGAGCTGTAGAGGTCCTTAGAAATCACCCACAGCCTAATTTCTCATTTTACAAATGAACGAAGAACCCACAGAGTTTGATTGGCTGTGCAAGATGCACAGCTAGTTGCAAAACCTGCCTTTCCTGATGTGCTGTCTGGTGTTTCTTCTACCACGTCACCCATTGTCTTCCCCAGTTGAGGAATGAAGGGCCAAGACTTGTGCCCACAATTCTAGGGATCTTACCTCTTTTCAGATTTTTCTGTTTGCCTTTTTCTGTGATTCTTTGATAAAATTATTGAGATTGTTTTTGTGCCAAAATTTGTACATGTCTCTGAAATAATTGTTTTTCCAACATTGTATTTTGATCACAGAAAGTCTTGAACATCCAGATCTGGAGAGGGCAAGCACTATTAAGGTAAATATTTTTCACTGGTCCCTCACTGTGAGCTAGTGAAGCCCTGATAGAAATAAGGGACTGCCTTAAAATGAAAGACTGAGTGTATGGTGTGTTCTGAGGGACGTCAGGAAGCACTCCCTTGTCCACACCTTCCCACACACAAATCTCTCCAAGCTGGGGCCCACCTCTGCTGCCTGAATACCCCTTCATCCAAATCTTCATGTTTGGGTTGAATTATTTTTCTTGTGTAAATACACAGAGTAAGCCACAGCCCTCGTAGTGCCTTAAAACAATCCCACGCAGTTTGGTTCCTGTAGCCTCTAGAGAAAAGCCGAACAGGAGTGAGTTCCAGTACACTCCCAGGTAGACCCAGACAAGGGACCTGGTGGGGACAGAGGAGGAATGGGTGCTTCAAACAGGAAGGGACACTGTTTGAGGGAAACCAGTGCTCATTCCAACTACTTCCCATTGTCCCTGAGCACTGACTCTTCATAGGCAGGTTTCCAAATGTCTGAGCAATTCCTCAGTGTGATCCCAAGAAATTCCCCTTCCCTAAGGCCCTCTTGGGAAGTTTCCAATAATGGCTGATGCCACAGATCCTCCTAGACCCTCTTCTCTGTTTTGTGTCACTTTTTCTTTTCTCTTTGTTTGCTTTAACCTCTCCAGCATGTACACACATGCACACATACGCATGTGCGTGTGCGCGCGCGCACACACACACACACACACACACACCAGTTTTCCAGGCACTTCTCATTTAGAAATACTAACATCTATTTTACAACCTCAAGCATCACTTAGAAGCCGTGGTTTCCAAGAAAACATTAAGAGGAGAGGTAGAATCTCCAGTCTGGAGGCCTACTGATAGGCTTTTCCATTGCCAAACTGATTCCCTGACTCATCTTGATTCTTTTTGCTGATTATCTCTCTCACTTGCTGAGTTTTCTGCCATTGTAAAATTATAATTAAAGGCATGATCTATTAAGATATTCAGTATTCTTTATTGAGTAGCACTGAAATTCCTGCTTGCATTCAGCTCCAGGAAAACATTAGTCACTTTATACATGAATGCATACTCTCCTGTGTCAGACACAAAAAAAGAAGCCATCATGTTTCCCTTAATGCCAAAGGCCTTACCATAGTCTAAATGGCCTTATATGAGCTTCCCACCATCTCACTGCCCAACCCCCATTACCTCTATGAAACTCTTTTACCCCTCTGTCCACTCACCGTTACTCCTCCAGACACACTGGCCTCCTTACTGCTCCCCTAAAATGCCAAGCATGCTCTCACCTCAGGGCCTTCGCACTTGCTCTTCCTTTGGCAGGAACACTCTATCCCCAGATAGCTGTGTCTTGCTCCCCCATCTCCTTTCAGCCTTTGCTCAACAGTCACCTTCTCTGTGAGGTCTTCCCTGATCACCCTCATGTAAAATGGAAACACACACACATACACACACACACACACACACACACACACACACACACACTCACGCACTATCCTCCCCTATCCTGCTTTAGTTTTCGTCTTAACACTTAAGTCATTATTCAATCATTCATTTATTGAACAATTTTTTATCAAGTGCCTATTATGTGCCAGGCACTGGAGATTCAGCAGTAAACAAAGCAGACAAACATTCCTGCCCTAATCCTCTGGTACTCTATTCATTTGAATATAAGCTTCATGATGGCAAGGGCTTTGTTTTGTTCATAACTGTATGCCGAGCACCTAACACAGGACTGAAATAGAGTAGATGCCCAACAAACATTTGTTGAAAGAACAGCCTCAGCCATCAAAGCCTAAATTAATCTGTGTTAGGACTTCCCTAGCCCTCTCTCCATTAGTCTGATATACAGCCATATTTGCAAACTACTACACAGAGCAGAGGTTCTCAACCGTGGCTACATCTGGAACCATCTGGCAAACTTTAAAAACTGATTCCCAGGCCTCACCCCAAGAGATTGTGATTAGTCTGGTTTGCAGCCAGGGCCTTGAGAGTTCTAAGGGCTGCCCAGGTGATTTTAATGTGTAGCCAGCACTACAAACCACTGACTTCACCTACTCATGTCAGGCCATTTAGGAGCATCTGCCCCACCCGACCTCACCTTCCTTTAGATCAGAAGTGCTCAGCCTGCCTGCACATAGAGTCAACTGGGCAACTTAGAAAACAAAGAAATGCTTGCCCCACCCTCAGGGGTTCATTTAGATTGTCCCCGTCCCAGATTATCCCTTTAAATGTCCTCTTTTGCAATGCCTTAATCCATAAACTGCCTCAAATCTTCTTAGAAGAATTAGAGTCAAGCTTCTACGATAATACCCTGCCCTCCGCACCATCAACACCAAACACACTTCTCTCATCTTGAATGTGTTTATGCCTTAGTTCATAGATTTGCCACTTCCTTTTTAACTGCCACCATCACGGAATGACTACCCTGCAGCCTGACTACCTCCCCCAGCCTATTTTGTGTGCTTCTGGGATCATGCTGCTTCTGCATTCCAGGAAGTGATAAAAGTCAACAGAGCAAAGCCAGCATCTGAGCCACTATCCCTGCCCTACCACTTCCATGCTCCAGCAACCCCACACTGTCACTTACTCACTCCAGATCTCACAATTGTTATGAAATATTTAAAGGGAGATTGGAGTAGTAAAATGGACATCCCTTTTCCCCCTGCTCCCCGTAAGACCCCCCATGACTATCTTCTCTCAGAGAAGGATCTAAACATGTTATTTATTCCAAGCTCCAGGAGGGAGGGAGCATGCACGGCTGACATTTTTTTTTACAACCTGGGACACTTGAGCCCTTGAAATTATCCTACTGGGGAAGCCCATGTCCAAGTCTGGGGCCAATCCTGGGTGTCACAACTGGCAAGAATTATGAGAAGTCATAACTAGGAATGGCCAAAATCCCAGAGAATAATTCTTTGAGACTTCAGAGCACCAAGAGTATGGTGTATAAGGCCACATGGTTGTGGTTTGTCTCTTGAGGGTTTCTAGGTATTTCTGGTATTCACTGTCCAACAAAGGACAGAGGCTTAAGTTAGTATTTCACCTCTGTCTTGGCAGTTTATCACCCTCTATCAACGTGAAAGTGGTCTGGAAAGCCTTTATTCTTCAAATGATGGCGTTTCAGGTACAACATTTTTATCATTTTATAATGAAGCTCTCAATTATGTCATTCTAAATATAGAAGTTTTGATTATTCATCCCCCCCTTGCAGTGAGTGGTTCCTGTCTTGCAGCAGTGTTACATACCACCAATATGGGACTAAGACAATATTACTAACAGTGTATCTAGATTGTTTTGCAAGTTACAATGCAGTTCTCAGACCTGAACCTCACAGCAAAGGGGTGACATTTACTGGAAGTAACATTTATTAGGTATCAGCTATGTACCAGGCATTCTGCTAAGTTCTTTTGTCAGATCCACCCTGGGAAGCATCATATCCATTGTATTGATGTGGAAACAGAGTCACTGAAGTGAAATAGTTTACCATACCATGTTGCCTCTGCAAGTCTTAAAGTCCTGTTATACAGAAGAGAAAATGGAAGCAAATGATCTTCTGAGGTTGCAAAGCCAGCAAGTGGTAGAGGCAGGGCTCTAACCTCACAGTTCCTGTGGCTTTTATCCCACATTCTTTCTTCCTACCAGCCGGTGGTTACATCCAGTTGCCCTTGCATCTCAGAATGGGTAATGACCAAGGACAGCCTGCAGCACTGAGTGGCAAGTAGGAAAGATCCCACCTAGGTTTTTGACTGCATGTCCAATCAAATAGCAAAATCACATTCTTCTGGACCTTTAGTTTGACTGGGACACCTCCTCCCAACCCCTGCATTCTGAACATTACGGGAACTCATTGGCAGCACCTTTGAATTCAAATAATACAATTTTGCTCTGATAAGGGCTTTTGGAGGGAGAAACGCATAAATGGCCAATCTTGTCCTCAAAATAGTAAAAAGGCCCACTGAGGAGAATTTATTAGAAATTACAGTGATGCCTGTTTATGAAACCCCATAAGAAAAAGAGGACTTCTGGGCCAACACATGCCCATTACGGCTTATAATGTTTTTTGTTTTTGTTTCTTTTACAAAATATGGTTTTATCAGGAATCTAAATCAGTTCACAGTGTGAAGTGACATTCTATAGCACTTGGCATGCATTGTGGAAAATTCAATTTGGCCACAAACACATCCCTTTCTTCATAGCGACCAGTGCCAACCAAGTGAACCCCACTACCCTTTTCACAAAGGTTCCCTGATCAAAGCAGCATCAGGGAACTTGAAAGAGAGTTGGTCTCACTATGCTGGCTTCATTTTGACATAATACCTAAGTCCTACTCCCAGCACGCTATGAATGTCACACTGACTGATTTCTTTCCAGCAGTTTTGCTTTGACAGAAGTAGGAATTGTTAGCCAGAGGTTTCGCTGTGCCCCTAGGATGAGCTTTGTGTATGCCCTTATTCTAGCCAGTGCCAGTCTTGAATAACATGCAGCATCCACTAGAGCAGTGGCCCAAAGTCTTGTCCAGTGATAGCTTGCATCAGGATCACCCAGGACGCTTATTAACAATATAGAATTCTGGCCCCTCCCCAAAGCAGCCCAGTTAGTTTCTTTGGGAAATGGGGTCCAGGCATGTGCTTTCTTAACAAGATCCTCAAATTGCAAAAATAAAGTTTCATTTTCCCCCTCCAGTGAGATTTTCACAATATGGACTTGCAGCATATGCCTCCATCCTATAACTAAAAGCCTTTGTCTTGCTTTTTGAGACTGTAGGTCTCTCCATTCAAGCCTTTGTCTTTGCCTCTGCAGATTTTGACTTTTTTTCCTTATTAATTTCTAGGCTGTTCTTATTTTATCAACTACTAGCACATTCCAGGACTGCATTATTAATTTGAAAACCTAAACTTCTCCCCCTTATTTAGGAGTAAATTTGCTATCTGCTACTTTACTTTTAAGCATAGTTTCTTGAGGTTCCCAAGGTTATATTGCTGGAGAAAATCAAAAGCTAGGTAACTGCAAAAGCTATAGGAGAACATTGTCATTTACTGGAAACAAGAAAGTATGTGCTTTATTGCCCTGTTGTCTTTTCATAACATCTGTCATGATGCATCAGCAACACAGATAAATGCTCATTTCTGTCCTTACAGATACAATAATCATTCTGTTAACATAAACTATGATATGCTTTAAGAGCCCTTTGCACAAAACAACTGATGCAGAAAATATGGGTCCAAATGGAGACTTATTGGCCACACAAGTCCTTTATAGCTCACATAACAAACAGATCACTCGGGGTCAGTCAACTGAAAATTTACCCAAAGCGAGTGAGAAATGATGACCTCTTTTAATGCACTGCTGCTTTTACCTGGACATTCTGGAATGGACGGAAGTAACCTTTTCATGTGGTAAACATGCTCCTCAGGCTGTTTTGGATAGTTACCTGATGGCATGAGGGAGAGACATACTGCTGAGCTGGCTCAAGAAGCATCAGGGTGCAGGCAGTACCGAGCTGGCCTCCACATCAAAGCCTGGGCTCTAGTGCAAGCTTGGCCACCTTCCTACCTCATTTAAGGTCATTAAGGTCATTTCGGTTGAGGCACCTGACCTTACTGAATGTCTCTGGTTCACTTCCCAGGAGTTTCAGAAGGGGTAAATAAAAATTCCTTATGTTATCATAATGAGCACTGATAAATATATAGAATTTTTGAATCACTACATTGTACACCTAAACTAATATACCACTGTCTGTTACCTATACTGGAATGAAAATTAAAAACTTTAAAATAAGACTCTTTGTGAAAGCACTTTAAAACTCAAAAGTTTGGGGCACCTGAGTCCCCAGTCAGTCCCTCAGTCAGTTAAGAATCTGACTTCAGCTCAGGTCATGATCTCACAGTTTGTGAGTTCAAGCCTTGAATCAGGCTCTGTGCTGACAGCCTGGAGCCTGGAGCCTGCTTCAGATTCTGTGTCTCCCTTTCTCTCTCCCCCTCCCCCATTTGCACTCTGTCTCTCTCTCAAAAAATAAACATTAAAAAAAATTTAAACCTCAAAAGTTATTATATAAATGCTTTTTTCTGAATCCTAAATTATCAATCCCCTAGCCTGACAGCCTCAATTGGAAAGCCCAATAAATGATCAAATTTCTCTTTCCATTTGCTCACAGATGCTGATAAGCCCAGTACTTCCAAACAGGGGTCTGAAATAGTGAAGAAAGTATCATCAGTTCTGTCCAAAGTGTTTTCAAGATCCAATGCCAATGTTTCCAGATCTTCCGCACCCTCACCCCCTCACCAGGACTGAAGCTGAAACTGCTGCTACACCTAACATCAATAAGGGCACTGGCCTTCCTCAAAAAATAAATGGTTTTTGAAACATGACATTGTGTACTACACACTGATTCTTAAATTCTTATAAACAAATAAGAGCAAAGAATGTACAAAAAGGCAGCTGGAAAAAAGAAGGGGTTGAAAATGCTTCTGATAGGCATTTTGGCATGAAAAGAGGGACTGTGCCTCCCATAGGGATGTATCTGCCAGGCAGTGTGGGATTCAGTCTCTGCTCTTGAGGCCCCTCAAGCCTTTGCTGGCAAGATAAGACTAACTTAAAAGTGAAAGTGTGGCATCGCTAAGAGTGAGTCATCATGTATTTCGTGTGCTTTAGGAGTTCAAAGAAGGGAGTCATGGTTGTGAGCTGGAGTGGTCAGGGTAAGTTTCCTGGAAGAACTGGAATTGAGGCAATCCTCAAAGGACAGGTAGGATCAGATAGGCCTGGAAAGTATCAGGAAGGCTTTAACCTGTGGTCACAGAGCTGCATACAATGCCCCCATGCCTGAATGATCTAATTCTAGTATAGTATTCAATTCATTCTAGTATACTAGCTACTAGCCCCTGGCTATTTAGTCACTAGTATTATTGAACAACTGAATGTTTCACTTCATTTCAATTTAAATAGCCATGTGGTGCTAGTAGCTCCCTTACTGGATAGTGCCCTTACTAGTTAGTACATGGCCTCATGGGCAGTAGCCGAATTCAGATTAGGTTGAAGAATTCCCTGAAAGTTTTTTAAAATTTTTTAATGTTAGTTTATTTTCGAGAGAGAGACAGAGTATGAGCAGGAGAGGGGCAGAGAGAGAGGGAGACACAGAATCTGGAGCAGGCTCCAGGCTCCAAGCTGTCAGCACGATGCCGGGCTCAAACCCACAAACTGTGAAATCATGACCTGAGCTGAAGTCGTACACCCAATCGACTGAGCCACCCAGGCGCCTCTCTGAAAGTTCATTTTCAAAGTCTATCCTCAAACACCAGTATATGACTCCTCAGAGGGGCTCTGAAGCCTCCAGGCATCTTCTTGGCCCCTTCAAGACACATGAACCACCAATGTGGCCAGAAGGAGCTTTCCAGTCATATCTGTGCTCCTGTACTTACCAAAACTCAATTGATGGACAAAAGATAGGCCCCTTCTAGAATGCCAAAGTCAAGGCATCACAAAGAGCAAATCAGAGCCTATGCCTGCCAACTGGCCTCAAATACAGTGCTTGGCTAAAAACTGCTTCCACAAGACAGAAACACCAGTCTGGTACTGAAACCACCACTCTGGCCTCCCTCTATCCACTCAATAAACAGGAAGATGATCACTCCGCTAGTCATTCTCATAGCCCGGCTTTATCCAAAAAGTTAGGTCAGAGGAAGTTATCAACCTTATCCAAAACTCCCCAGGGAAATATTTCTAGGCAAGTAAATTTCCTTGATGCTATACTGATAGTCCATAAATGTGAACTGAACTTTTGCAAATAAAATGGCAGGCAGTTCTGCCCAAATATCACCTATTCCCAAATTTGGCTGCCTTTATCTGTTCACTCATTCCTGCCCTTACATACTGAAATTCACCACATGCAGCAGCCTACGTTTTAAAGTCATTTTTTAAAGGTTCACAATAATGACAAATACTGATCTTACATATGGGTTTAACTTGTTTTTATTAATAAGTAATATAAATCCAGTTTGAAATTTAAAAGTACAAATGCTGTGGTGAAATGTAAGCCTCTTCACCTCTCCTCTCCCAGATGCTAGCTGGTTCTCCTCTCTAGAAGTAATCTCATTTACCACTGGATTGAGTGTCCTTCCTGAAATACTCTATGGCTTCCCTCAAAATTGAATACCTTCCCTCAAAAAGGCAGAAAACAGAGAGGAAGAGATGGAGGGAGGGGAGAACGGAAGGAGAGACAGAGAACGCAAGCATGCTATTTGACAGATACCATTTCCTGGAGCCGGTGACTTGGTCAGTTTCTATGGTTGCATTTGTAGCTTCAAATAGAGTCAGTCCTCATTTTAAACAATGGTTTTTGTCAAATGAATGTCAATGCTAAATGTCAAAAAGTGAGCACCACAGTGGGAGGAAATTGCCTACCTTAGTGGCTCAAAGCCTGCTGACCAAAATACATTAAAAATGCTCAAGCTAGTAGCTACAGTCCTTGGAGATGGAACCATCTAAATATAAAGAAATATATGAAAGTACCAAAAGTAAAAATGCACTGCCTCACTTGCAATCAAAGAAAATGCAATTAGAGTAAACTGAAGGTACTACAATCTACCTTCTGGAGAAGAAACAAGGAATAAAATGATAAAAGCCAGTGTTGTCCAGAATGTAGGGGAAAAATTACATTTACACTCTACAGTGCTGATGGTTACACAAATTTGATCTTTCTGAAAAGCAATCTAACAATAAGTAAGACAAGTGATTGTTCTGTCTATACTTCTGGATATGATAACTCCACCTTGGGGAATGTGGTCCAAGGGAATACAGAAGGAAAAATTTTAAAAGGACTCTGTATAAAAATGTTCATAACAGTACTATTGATTATGATGAAAAATCAAAACAATCCAAGTTGGGGAAATGGTGCAGTGTATTAACAGAAAGAATGCCATACAGACACTGAAAATGACAAGGAGAGTGATAACATAAATAGAAGTATACATTTGAAAAAAAATCAGCTTGCAAAATAAGATGTGTACTCTGATAACAACCACAGAGCATACTTTACAATTTGGCAATCATATGGCATACTAATAAATAATCTGAAGAAGTTAGAGATTTAATAATCATGAGGGTTTTTTGCTGTTATTAGCTACTTGCTAATAAATGCCTTTCTCTTGAAGAAACATCATCATAATCACCATCACTTCTTAAGTCATTTCTAACCCTATCCTAAACCAAATGGAATGACATCTAATACCTCAATTTCTTGTGAGGCATGAAAAAAAAGAAAACATCAGCTGAGACTTTTTTAAAAGGCTTCTTTAAAAAGGCTAGGTCACCTCCAATCATCCCCAAGGTACTGTTCTAAACACTAATCTGGCAAAAGGTATTCAAATTTTTTACTGAAGTTCATTGTAGAGAGTACACTGGCCTTAAATATAAAATTACAACAGCCATATATTTGTGTGATACACATACACTCGAGTAATTTAATTAACATATGTCACACAGCTTTGCTCCTTTATAGGACATAACACATAAGATCAGTATTTTTAATGATTTGTCTAGGGACCAATGTATCTTTGATGACATACTATTGGTCATACTTAACTTATAGACTACCAAATGCTTATTGCAAATGTAATTATAAATTATTTCCTATTGAAAAATATGACCTGCTCTTATCTATTTTGTGACGCAATTTCCAGTAACACTTGCAGAAATCAGGAGCCACTTATTTAGTAAAGAAAGAAATGCTAGGTTAAATCCTACTGCAAATAATTACACCCAAAATATGTCTTCTAAGTTGACATTTTCAGATAAAAGACATCAGGAAACGTTTAACTTTATTCTTTGGTCCTAACAGCACAGCATAGAGTACTTTATAGTTCACTCAAATACCACTTAGACAACGACCAGGTTATTCCTTTCAAAGAACTTCAGAACATGTTTACAGAAGGTATGTCCTGTGCCAGATAAAGATTATTTCCATTTTAGGATTCACCTGAATTCATAAATTGCTGAGAAAGATACTTATCAGGCACATGGCCCAAAAGGTTAGAGGAAGCAAAAAGGGACTGACAAACTAGGGTGTTAATTAGGCCGCATGAAAGAAATAATGATATAGCAAAAACCAAAAACCAAAACCAAACAAAACATTCTTAATGAGCACTTCATTCAATGTGGCTGTTTAGCCTGGAGATCACTGGAAATTTGTCCACCAGAGAATTCCAACTGTCTTTTGTGAAGTGAATCCATGAAAGGAACAAGTAAACATTCACTGTTCCCAAAGATCAACTAACACCAATTGCTAGCAGGGTGTATACGTGCCTCTCAGATTTCTGACTACAGGGAACATAACTGACAAATGGCCACAGCTGCTGAGCTCTGAAATCCAGTGCTGTAGTAGCTGAAATCCATTATCCCTGCATGTTCACCAAGGCCAAACTTCCCACAGACTGCTGCCAATGACTGAATGTGGCAGAGATATTAAGACAGGCCATTCCTGTGAGACACAGGACTCCTTTAACAGGTGACTTGGGGTCAGGGATGCTGCCAGGTAAGAACTCCAGCCTGACAAAGGATAGCAAGGAGTGGCTCTGACACTACTTCACAGGTGTAGAAAGTAGACAGGGAGACTTAATGGGTTAAAACAAGACAGTTTATTACAGCACAGCAAACAGCATCAGCATGAGTATCAGCAAAGCTTTGCCAGCTCCCATCCCAAGTCCTGCAGGACAATGTAATGGGCTCAGATGGGACACTACTCATGCAGTGGGTTGCATCACAGCTAAGGAACCCAAGGTCAAGGCCCCAAAACAAACCAGTGCCCCTCCCCTGGGAATCAACCAGTTCAATGGTAAGTCACATTGTGGTCACCTTGACCTGCACAAGTGGCTTGGTATTAGGGAGACCCAATGAGCATTGCTTGAAAAACCTTCACCAAGAATGTGCAAGGAGGCTCACAACCCACAGTGGACTGCCTCTCCCAACACACTTGTTTTGCCAAGATGGTCTTAGAATTGCACCATATAGTCCAAGATCTTTCCTACCTACCACCCCTCTTTCCTTCCCTCTCTCCTGCATCTAGGCTGTCCAACAGCTCTCCTGGGCTCCTCTGGCCCCCACTCATTTTCCTTCACAGATGTTTTCCCTAGTAAATCTCTTATATGCCTAATCCCATATTGGCATCTGCTTCTAGAGAACTCAAACTAGCACAAATGGTGCCACTGGTGGTCCAAGAAAACAGGCTGTGATAAGGTGGGGTTCCGGGACTGCATCAGTCATTGGCGGGTAAACAAGTCTGTGGTGATTCAGACTTTGAAATATATGAGAGGAGT